TGAATTCCGCCAGCGATATCTCACAGACGCGCACGCACAATCACACTTATACACACACTGGCATGCCTTGCTTTTTTCGCTCAATATATCTTGGAAACCTTCCACTTCAGGACATAAAGACCCGCTTTCTTCCCTTTACCGGTGGGCAACCGTTCCATCGTACGGACGAACCATTGTTTATCCAGCCAGCCCAGTCAGTAGGTATTTGTGTCGTTCCCCGGTATCTCCCTGCTGCGAGCAAAGCCGCGGTGAGTGAACGTGTGCGTGTGTCCCTTTGCACAAGTACAAGAAGGTCTAAAGATAAATTCCTAGAAGCAGACGAGCTCGATAGAAGGGTCTGTGCATTTATAAATGTGATAGATGTTGCCACGTTGCCCCACATAAAGGTTGGTCGTGACAATTTATGTTCCCACCAGGAAGGGAAGGGATTCACAAAGGCTTGTCCAAAATGCGGGGCTGCCCTGGGGAGCTCAGGAAGTAATTTAAAATGGAATATCGCCCTTCCCTGTCCTTCGGAGCCTTTCCCGGCCACCCAGCCCCATTCCTCAACCGGAGAGCCTCCCCTGGCCTCTCCCACGCCATATGCTGGACTTTTTCTCTCTCTAGCTTGCTCGTTCCTGGCCCCTAAAATCCCTGCTCTTGACTTAATTTGCAGCAGGTGAGGAGGTGTTTGCCAGCCAGCCCCCAAAGACTGACTCTTTAATGCCGAAAACGGTTCTCCAAGTTGTGTTATTCAACCAAGGCGGCTCTCCTGAGTGCACCCTGCCCCCTTCTCTGGTGAGCAGATAAATATAGATTCGTGAGTTTGCCCCCAGTCGACCGTGAGGTCCCCAAGGGCGGAGAGGCTGCCTCACTCATCTCTGCATCCACCGTTCGGGCAGCGGCACAAGCAAGGTGTCCAACAGCTGTTGAATGAATGAATGAATGGCCCAGACAGAACTCTTGTCAAACCAGTGCTGTCAAAGCCCTCTGGGCTTACTCGACTGACGCTAGGTGTGTCTGATACACTCTGAAGATCACACCGGCGTGCGGCATTTATTTTACCCATCACTGGCGTTTTCCGAAGGGCATTGTTTCTGTTCTCTGCTCACTTTTCTTTTTCCCCCTTTGGCCTGGCTGGGGCCTCACGGGGAAAATCCGAGATGGGCAACAAGTACAGTAATGCCTGCAGGCATGAAAAGGATGTACAGGCAGTCGGGAGGATAAACAGGGGCAAACACACACGCAGAGAGGAGTAAATATTGACATTGCAGAGGCGGAGTGGGTGGGGGAGGGGAAGCCGCCGTGGTTTCAGAGTTCAGTGGAGTGTAGACGCAGTCTCGGTTTCAAACCCAATGCCACTCCAGCAACCCCACCCTCAAGATTATCACCTGGAATCACTGTTTTCCAAAACATCCCAGGGTTTCGTCCTTTAAAACTAATCTTCTTGGCCAGGCATGGTAGCTTGTAATCTCAGCATTTCGAGAGGTCCAGACAGGAGGATTGCTTGAGGCCAGGAGTTCTAGACCAACCTGGGTATAGTGAGACTCCCGTCTCTACAAAAAACTAAAACATTAGCTGGGCGTGGTGATGGGTATCTGTAGTCCCAGCTACTCGGGAGGCTGAGGCAGGAGGATCACTTGAGCCCAGGAGTTTGAGGTTGCTGTGAGCTAGGATGACGCCACGGCACTCTAGCCTGGGCAACAGAGCAAGACCCTACTGTGAGCTATGATGACACCCCTGCACTCTAGCCCATGCAATAGACCAAGACCCTACTCAAATACATAAATAAAACTCATCTTCTTAACCATTTCAGTAGAAATCTTTCCAAAATGTCCCACATTTCCATGGCTTTGGACTTGGCATCTCAAGTATATTATAGTATTGACGTAGTGGTTTGGGAACGGGACAGATCTAGAGTCGACTTTGAGATCTGCTCATTATAAATGGTAGGACTTCTGTTTCCTTTTTTTAAAATTTGTTTTTCTTTTTGTTTTGAAAATTTTCAAACCAACAGAAGAGTTGCAAGCAAGTATAATAAACAGCCCGAGATCAGGGATCATCCATCAGCCCAATGACCTGTGAGCTAAGAGTGGTTTATACATTTTTTTATATTTTTAAGTGGTTGAAAAATGTCTGAAAAAAGAAGAATGTTTCATAACATATGAAAACCTATGAAATTCAAGTCTCCATGTCCATAAATGAAGTTTGCCCACTTGTTTATGTACTGCCGGTGGCTGCTTCAGCTCTGCAACCGTAGGGTTGCATAGTCGCTACAGAGATCCTGGCTCTCAAAGCCCAAAATAGTTATTTTTTTCTTTTTTTTCCCAAAATACTTATTATTTGGCCCTTGACAGAAAAAGTTCAGCAACTCATGACTTAGATTTACCGATTATTAATGTTTTGCCCCATTTGTTTTCTCTGTCTCTTGCTGAAACATTTGTGTGAGTCTTGATACCTCTTCCCTAAATACTTGTGTGTCTATCTAGTTTCTTAGACCAGAAGGTGGGAATGACAGGTTTGGTGGGGGAGAGATAAGATAACACAAAATGTTTGCACACGGTGCTTGGCACGCAGACGGAACCTAATACAGGATCTGATCAAAATTCCTGGCATTCTTCGCAGAGGTGGCTGGCAGAACCCCTAACTTGAAAATCCTGAGTCTTGGTGCTTCCTGGAACCCTGCTTCCTGCAGGGGGGAGTCAGCTTTTCCCTGGCACGGGCTTCTTACCCGAGAAGCAGAAAAAGCCTCAGGGAAGCCTCATTTTTTCCACGGCCTGTGGCTTGGCTGACTCAACTTCTGCCTTTCCCTGAGTCACGAGTTTTTCCTCTCTTATTTGGAGGAGCAGGTCCCCCGCCCAGCTCTCCCCACCCACGGCCAGCCTGTGCTGGAGAGGAGGCGGACAGCTGGGTGATCAGATTCGTGCTGCCTCCAGGGCATTTCTCAGTGCTCCACTCAGAGCTGGAAGGAAGAACAGATGAAGAGACTGAGGGCCCAAGTGGGCCCTGGACCATCATCCAGACAGGGCTTGGAGGGGTCTCCTGACTCCAGGACCAATAAGTGTGCGTCCTCCCTCTGGTTTTCCGGAAGCACGAAAAGGCTTCCCTTTCTGGGATGCCTGCTTCTGCCAGGCTCAGTGTGGGGTGCAGGACGCCATCACCAACAAGACAGCGCTGCCGTCACGCGGGACTGGGCACTGGGGCAGTCACGGAACACGGCCTTGAGGGCTCAGCTTGCAGTTCCCCACTGGTGACAAGCAGCGTGTACACTTGGGATGGCATTTCTCACAGTCCCAGTGTCCCAGCTGTGACTCAGCCCGTGGGATCGCAGACCTCGTGCCTTCCGCCTCTGTGCAGGGTAGAGGCCTGGCCACAACCTCAGGACTCCTCAGTTCAAACAGTTGCTCCACTGGAGGTACCAAAGTGGGTAAAATGGCCCGAGGAGGAGCCCACGGAGACTGTGGGTAGGAGAACACAAGCCCCATTCAGAGGGGACGGCGCTGTGTGGGCACGAGGACCGGCACTTGCGTATCTTCTGATTTAAGAAAAGCTGAAAATCCTGATTTTTACATGAATGCTCCCAATATGAAATGTGCCCAGCAGTGAATTTTTTAGAATATTTAAACACTCCGTGAGGCCATCGGGTCAGGTTTGGTTCCGGGTGACCTACCAGGCTGTGGCTTGTGCTGGACACTCGGTAAACACTGTCCCTGCTGGTCCCGGCAATGGCAGTGGTGGGGGGATGGGGGCTCTCACTTGGCAATCACGCCACCCCTCCCCCCCTTCTCTCGCCCCTGTCCCTTCCCTTTCCAGCGGGGAGAGGGACATCACCAGCTGGGCCCCCCTCATGGCCTCGCCCACCCCCAGGAGAGCAGGTGCCACGGCTCCAGCCGGGGGACACCACCACTGAGCAAGGTCCAACCGAGGCGCAGAGACTCCCGGAGCGGTCTCGGCCCTTCCCTCCGCTGCGCCCCTCTCTGCTGGGACCCGAGCCAGCCCCTGTCAAAGCGCCCAGGTGCTGTCCCATTTGGACCAAACCGCATCTGCGTAAGGGACATTCACTGCGTTCCTCCCGCGTGCTCCACTGTGCTCGTGAACGCAGTCTGGGCTGGGGCACGGGGCTAGCTGGAGGGACAGGTGGCCTAAGGCGAGGACTGCAGGTAGGGAGAGATGCTGGCGAGGTTGTGGAGGAGGCGGGGGTGGGAACAGAGATCTGCTGTGGGGGCCAGAGACCTCTCGAGGAGGTGGCAGTTTGAGACCTGAGGGAGGCAGGGGAAGTGCAAAGGCCCGGGGGTTTTGAGGAACAGGAAAAGCTGGTGCGAGGGTGCAGAGGCCGGAGCGGGTGCGTGGTGAGGCCATGGGGGTTCATGGAGGGCTGGAGGGGCCAAGACCGCAGAAGCACCACCTGCGGGTGATTTTGGAGCTGGGCGATGGGTATATGGGGCCCGCTGGACGACTCTCCTTCCTTCAGTGTGTGTTTGAAGTTTTCCCCTATAAAAAGTTTAAAATGCAAAGTGCTGCTGATTTTCAATATTGTGATTATTAACGTCTCGTTGTGCTGCGGGGTGACCGACGTCGGCTAGGCAGGGAGGCGGGCGCCAGGCATCCGAAGGCACCGTCCCTGTCCCCAGCCCCAGCGCCCTCCCGGTCGCCCCGTCGCAGCCACCCAGCACCCGGCCAGGGGTCGGGGCGCAGTCTCAGCAGCACCCAGCGGCCGGCGGAAAGGGAAACGGGGGAGCCAGCCCGGGGGGTGGGGGCCCAGGCCAGCTGCCGCAGTGCGCGCGCTGAGCTCCCGGACGCGGCCGGCTGGCGAGCGCCCAGGATCCGCCCCCTGCGTCCGGGGGGAGTCCAGGCTCCGCCCCCCTGCGCTCCAGGGCTCCGATTGGCCGAGCAGCCCGCGAGGGGCGTGTCGGGCGAGGCCGGAGCGCGGGTGGGCGCGGGCCCTGGCAGGAGCCGCGGATCCGGTGACAGTTCGCGCCCGCGGACCGGGCTGCAGGGCGGAGCGGGCGGGCGGGGCGGGCCGGGCGGACCGGACGGCGCTGGAGCAGGTGAGCCCACCCCCGCCTCGCCGCGGCGCGGAGCGGACGGCTTCCCTCCGCCACCCCCAGCCCCCCAGCACCCGCGGGCGTCGAGGGGGCTCCGTCCCGAGCAGAGCAGGGCGCGCAGGACACTTGTCGTTGGGTGGGGGGAGGGGGGCAGGTGAGAGCAGGTGGGGGGGGAGGGCCGAGGTGTGATTCTAGGAAGTCGCGGTGCCACGGGGCGTCCTGGCCTCCTGCTGCCGTCGGGGTCACGCTTCCCGGTCCCGTCTGCAGAGTCTGGAGACATGGCCTGGACAACTGCCCCACCTGGGCAGGGGTGGGGGAGCCCAGATGACAGCATTTCCGGGTGTCCCTGGTTCACGCCAACCCCTCATCCCGGAACCACCAGGCCCCTAAGGCGTTTTGGTGGCAGCTGTCAAAGAAACGGTCGGTGTGATTTCGCCCTTCACCAGGAAGTGACTGAGGCCCCCAGAGAGGGGGCCCGGAGCCTCCTTCCCGCTCTCTGCTGGAGAGGTGCTATCAGCTCCCTTTGCAGCTGGGAAAACAGGGGTTCGGGGTCACCCTGAAACTTGGTCTCCACGGCTCAAGGAGACCACTGTTTTGGAATTTGAGCAAAGCTGTTATTTCGCCACCAGGGAGGGTCTGAGGCCGAGGAGGAGGGGAGGGTTAGTGCCGGGGCCACCCTCTGCACAGCCAGTAATTCCCACCGGTGCCTGCGTGAGCCCAGAGGGCTCCGACTCAGCCCGTGTCCCTACACACAGCAGGCCTCGGGGCCGCAGACACAGACAGGGCAGCCGAGCTCGGGGACCCGCCCAGCCCATCCACAGGACAGTGCTTGAGCAGTGTGGCCTGGAGGGCAGGGCCCCCCCAGCTGGACCAGTAAACTTGTCCAGGCACCACGTGTGGTGGGGGTGGGGGTGGGGGAGATCAGGTATTAGGAGAGGAGCCCCCCCCCCCCCCTCCCCCGTCTGGACCTGAGGGTTTCTGGTTCCGTCCTTGGTGAAGAACCTTCAGCAGCTCGTGCTTATTTGGGAGCTGGGCTTCCCAGTCACTCATCTGAGACCTTACATGGTGCCTTTGTGAGGTTAAATGAGATAATACATGTCAGATGCCTAACATTGTGCCTGGCCAGCCCCGAGCTCCCGGCCAGTGGCGCCGCCAGGGTATTTCCCTTGTTACTAGTCTTTTCCTGGAGGGGGGGCCTCCAGGAGGCACAGTGCTGGGCAAGGCTGGACGGACAGGACGCTTGGCTCCCGGCCTCACTGCACCTGGGGGGAGTCAGATCCTCGCTTTGGCCCGTGTGCCTGCAGGAGGCCCCCGCCCGTCCTGAGAACCTCCCTCGTACCCCCGGCTCCTTCTGCGACCTCACTGTGCCCGTCCCACCTGCAGCTGCTCCCTGGGGACTCTGCGTGGCCGGTTCCTCCGTGGTATTCGGGTTGGGGTGGGGTGGGGTCACTTCCTTACGAGGCCCCCAACCCCCTGACCCCCACACCCACTGCAGCCCCAGCCCCGCCAGGCAGGCCAGCTTAGCAGGGGCCCTCAGGAAATACCTGTTGATTTACCTCTGGCCCCCCAGGGAGAAGAAGGGCTTGGGCTCTAGCTCCCTGCCGTGAGCTGGCACCCAGCGCAGTGCTGGGCACCTAGTAGGACTTCAGTTAATGTTTGGGAGGTGAAGCCAGGCGGGCATGGAAGCAGGTGGGCCTGGCTGGGGCTGAGGTCGCTGCAGGGACAGAGGGGCCCACGCGGGAAGCCACGGGAAAGTCCGAAGGGCTGAGTTGCCCCAGAATTCTGACTCCCTCTGTGACCACGGCCATGTGTGTCCCTCTCTGATGAGCAGCGTCCCCACGTGTGACCCACGGGGAGGCACGGACCAGGCCGCCCCCGCAGCTCCTACTTTCCAGGGTTCCCAGGTCAGGGACCCAGACGTCTCTTTGCTAATCCCAAAGGCTGTGCTCCCCGTGGCAGGGACATTCGCTGTCCCGGTGAGAACAGGAAAACCGTCTAACTCCAGGTTGCTTTGTTTACCGAGAGAAACCTTCAGCCCTCAGGCCCCGTCAAACCAGGTGTGAAGTTACGGTCTCCAAGGAAGGGTGCACAGATGTGGCTGCCCCACCTCCAGCCCTCCCAGGGCCTCCTGCAGGTTCGGAGCAGAGGGGCGCAGGCCCCGGCCACCCCAGGCAGGGTGTGGGGTCAGCCCAGAGCCCAGACCCCTTCTGTCACCACCAGCTACCCCCACCCGTCCTGGTCTGCACTTTGCCACCGGCAGCTGGACGATGGCGGTCAGGGCCTAGACGGGTCTGTAAGTCACAGGCAGGGGCGGAGCGGCACGGGGGTCCCGTATGGGGTGCTCTGCACCCCCCCAAAAGCCAGGAGATAGCGTTGTAGGCTCTACCCTCTGCCGGGTGGGTGCACTGTGGCTTCGGCGCCCCGACGCACAGCTCTACAGCTCTCCCCTCCCTGGGTGCCGCGCCTCACCTCTGACACACCTGGGTGGCATCTGTCGGAGGTAGCCCTGGGCAAGCCGGCCCCCAGAGCTCGACACGCCCCGCGGGGCTGGGTGGCGACCGCCTGCTCTCCGGGGCGCAAGGCCTCCTGCCTCAGCCGCCAGACGTGCTCGGGCTCCGTCTGCAGCGTGGGATGGGGTCTGCATCCAGCTCTCCCGCAACCGCCTGCGCGGAGGGACACGTGGCCCTTCCCTCCCCACGGCTCTGGCATCTCCCAGGGTGCCCGGGCCCTGATGCCCTGTGGTCTCCCTGCCAGGCCCGGCCCCACGTCCCACTCTGAGACCTGCCCTGCGGTCCCCAGCCCGTGCAGCCCGGGACTCTGTCCCGACACTTGTCCTGCGGCTCTTTTCTTTGCAAGGACTTTAAAATGAGAAAGAGAGAGAAAAAGAAGCACAGGTTTCTACTTCTCAGAACTGACAGGTGTCAGGATTCCATCGCGTTCGGCTGCGCCTTGTTCTAACGATGGAATCAAAACGTCACGGATGAAGGTGACGCGCTCCTCGAGCCCCCGTTCCCGGTCACACCCAGCCCCTCTCCCCAGGCTGCGTCCCCTGACTCTGGTTTTTACCCATCCTTTTTTTTACCATCTTGGCCATTTTTAAGTGTACGGTTCGATAGTGTCAAGTGTGTTCACGTTGCTGGGACACAGATCTCTGAAACTTTTTCGTCTTTTAAAACTGAAACTCTTCCCCCACTAAACGGCTCCCTGCTCCCCTCCTCCCAGCCCCGGCGACCACCTGTCTGATTCCCGTCTCTACGAATTCGACCACTTTGAGCATCTCCTCCGAGTGGAATCCTGACAGTGTTGTCCTTCTGTCGCTGGCTGGCTTCACGTGACATGGCGTCCTCAGGGTGCATGCGTGTTGTAGCGTGTGTCAGGACTCTCCTCCTCTTTAGGGCTGAAGTCCTCCGTGTTCCCACCGCCACTCAGCCTGTCGGTGGGCACTGCGCTGCTTCCACCTCCTGGCCTCCGTGACTAACGCCGCCACGAACACGGGAGCTCAGATAGTTCCCCCGGTCCCTGCCCTCCGTCCTGCTGCATGTGGGTCCCGCAGGGGGGCAGCTAATCACACAGCAAAGCTATTTTTAATTTTTTGAGGAACCTCCATGTTGTTTTCCACAGCGGCCGCACCATTTGGTGTTCTCACCGACTGTGCACAAGTTTCCTGTTTCTCCAAGTCCTCGCCGACACTTGTTGTTTTCTGGGGTTTTTTTTAATAGTAGAAAGTTCCCTGCTATCTATTTTTTTTTTGAGACAGAGTCTCACTCTGTTGCCCGGGCTAGAGTGCCGTGGCGTCATCCTAGCTCACAGCAACCTCCGACTCCTGGGCTCAAGTGATCCTTCTGCCTCAGCCTCCCGAGTAGCTGGGACTACAGGCACGCGCCACCATGCCTGGCTAATTTTTTCTATATATTTTTAGTTGGCCGATTAATTTCTTTCTATTTTTAGTAGAGACGGGTCTCGCTCTTGCTCAGGCTGGTCTCAAACTCCTGAGCTCAAACGATCCTCCTGCCTCGGCCTCCCAGAGTGCTAGGATTACAGGCGCGAGCCACCACGCCTGGCCTCCTGCTATCTATTTTTATTTGTAGAGTTCTTGAGCACTTTAAAAATCTTATGCAATTTTTGCATAATGGTGTCACTTTGCGTGTCCTGTTCTACAAGGTGCTTTTCTGCACTGTTTGCTGTCTGTCACGCTCCATGTGGATGTTTGTTCCACTGCGTGAGCAGACCCTGTTGTTTCATCCTTTTCCCTGCTGATGGGTGTTCCGGTTGTGTCTGCTGCACGGCAGTCTCTGCTCTTTGTGGGACGGAATTCTAGTTTTTGTCAGACTGTCCATCAGCCTGGGGACTCTGTGCAGGACGGCTCAGGGCCGCCAGGGATAATCCACCAGGTTTGCGATAACAGCCAAGATCAGCCACCTAAAAATAGCAGTTCTTACGTAAGGTGGTGTGGGCAGCTCTTCTCGGGACACCGTGTGATCTAAAGGGCCAGTGATAGCAGACCCGAGGGGCCCAGCGTCCTCTTACGCAACGCATCCGCCCACCCCGCTCCGCTCCTCACCGGGGGCCCCACTCGACTCCCAGAAGTGCAGCGCGGTGACCCAGAAACACTGCGGGCGCGTCTGAGCACATGTGAGCGTGTGGCGGGTGGCGGGGCGGCTCCCACCTCTTCCTTTGCAGAGCTGAGAGCCGAGTCGTGCGTGGTGGGCCCTGGAGACCTCTGGGAAGGTTTATTCGTGTGCCAGCCACTTAGGAAGCACCTGCTGGGTGTCTGGCGTGGCTCTGAGAGTCGGGGGGACGGCAATGAACAAGAAAAGGCTCCTGTTCTCATAGAGCCAAGGACTGGGCAGGGAAATAGAAGACACACAAGCAAAGACTAGACAAGAAAGTACCAGGCCCTGCTATGTCCTGCAAAGAACAAACGAAGCAGGGTGGCGTCTTAGAGGAGGGGTCAGCTCGTGGGAGGCTCCTTGGCCCCCAGGCCCTGCCCTGTCCTTCAGGCTCCCTGGGGACGGAGCCGGTTGGCCGCAGTGTCGCCCACTCAGTAGCACCCTTCTCTCTGCCCCCCATCCCCCTCGGCTTCCACAGCGCCCCCCCGGGGACCCCGTTCCCCTCCCAGTAACTCCTTGTACTCCTGCTCCGAGGGCGGTTTCCCGGGCAGTGGCCTTCTGCGGCTGGGCAGCCGGTGGGCTTCCTGGGACGTGGCAGGGTGCTAAGTGGGTCGTCCAGTGAGCCGGGGGTGGGCGGCGTGGTTCGGAGCCCCGGCCGTGTCTGGGCAACCTGACGCCTCCCGTCTGCCCCTCCGTCCGCAGCCGGGCGCCCCGGGAAGATGGTGGACCACCTGGCCAACACGGAGATCAACACCCAGCGCATCGCGGCCGTGGAGAGCTGCTTCGGGGCGTCGGGCCAGCCGCTGGCCCTGCCGGGCCGGGTGCTGCTGGGCGAGGGTGTGCTGACCAAGGAGTGCCGCAAGAAGGCCAAGCCGCGCATCTTCTTCCTCTTCAACGACATCCTGGTGTACGGCAGCATCGTGCTCAGCAAGCGCAAGTACCGCGGCCAGCACATCATCCCGCTGGAGGAGGTGACGCTCGAGCCGCTGCCCGAGACGCTGCAGGCCAAGAACCGCTGGATGATCAAGACGGCCAAGAAGTCCTTCGTCGTGTCGGCCGCCTCCACCACGGAGCGCCAGGAGTGGATCAGCCACATCGAGGAGTGCGCGCGGCGGCAGCTGCTGGCCACGGGCCGCCAGCCCGCGACGGAGCACGCGGCGCCCTGGGTGCCCGACAAGGCCACGGACATCTGCATGCGCTGCACGCGGACGCGCTTCTCGGCGCTGACGCGGCGCCACCACTGCCGCAAGTGCGGCTTCGTGGTCTGCGCCCAGTGCTCCCGCGAGCGCTTCCTGCTGCCGCGCCTGTCGCCCAAGCCCCTGCGCGTCTGCGGCCTGTGCTACCGCGAGCTGGCGGCCCAGCAGCGCAGGGAGGAGGCCGGGGAGCCGGCGCGGGGCTCCCCGGGGCAGCCGGCGCGCCTGGAGGGGGCCGCGTGCGGCGCGTCCAGCGGGGACGACGACGACTCGGACGAGGGCAGCGGGGACGGGGACTGGCCCAGCCGCGTGCAGTTCTACGCCGCGGGCGTGTCCTGGTCGGCCTTCCACAGCTGACCCGGACGGGGGGCTTCTGCGGGGGCAGCTCCACCGCCTGGGCCCCCCGGGAGGGCAGGTCTCAGAGCTGCTGGTGCCGGGGACCCCGCCCCAGTGGTGGGCACCCCGTGGGGAGCGGCTGTCCCCCCTGGATTCCAAGTGCCTTTGTGCTGGACATCAGCACCCTGCTAGTTCCTCCGCTCCAGGTAATTTTCTCCCCGTTTAGCAAACCCAAAACACTCAGGCCTCTTGGGAACAAACGCCGTTTGTCGGCCCTACAGGCTGCAGCTGCAGAAAACCGCTTGGATTAGACCAGCCCAGGTGTGCCGGGCGTTTGGGGACCCCCCGCCCCCGACAAGCACACCCATGAGAGCGGGAGTCCGGAAGCCGAGGCCTGCCCGCTGCCTGGCAAGCTGGGCCCTGCCGGTCTGGGCACGTGGGCGCCCCCCAGCCAGGCGGGAGACCGCCGAGCCGTGGGTGCCCTCCAGGTCCGGGGGCTGCAGCCTGGCCCGGGGCGGCCTCTGCCCCCTTCCCTCCCTCCAGGCGTCCCAACGTCTGATGTCTCTTTCGATCCCGTCGCCCTCTCTCCCTGCAGCGAGCAAAACCAGCGTTTCCTGTGAGGACTCTCAGTTGCAGGGACAGAAACCCCACCCGGGCTAGCTTCGTAATAAAAAGGAAAGTTTATGGACCTGTGTGTCGACAAGCCCAGGAGTGTTCTTGCTTCAGACACGGCCGAACCCGTGCAGGTTTGGAAAAAATCAACCACTGTGCACCGCACTGGGTGCTCCTGGGAACGCCGGGCAGCGCGGTGTGGACGGACGTCCCGTCACACCTTGGCGGACTCCTCGGGGAACAGGTCCGTCCGGGTGCTGTGACGATGGCCTGGCGCCTCTCACTCTGGTGTGGGCTGTCTTCACCGGTGGGACAGAGGCTGGCTCCCCCTGGGCCTTCCTGGTTGAAAGCTCTGCCCCCTGCGGTCTCCCGCCTGGCCTCTGCGGATGGTGCCATCGACCGGGGAAACCAGGCCCCGGGTAGCGCGGACAGCCTTGCTCAGGGTGGTGTGCGCTGGGCCCCGAGCTGCCCCTGTCTCTCTCCAGCGCCATCGGCCGTGGCCAGAGCCCTCTGTGGCGTCGAGTGGGTTCGCTTTGGCTACAAAGTGGTGGCTGGGGCTGGGAAGGCTCCCCCGGCCCACACAGCACCGTGTCCGAACCCCCTCAGGGCTCCCTCCCCGGGGTTAAGCACCATTGGCTCAGGCTGTTCTCAGATGTTCGTGTGCAAACCTGGAGGGGCGGGTCACAGTGCAGGTTCTGATTCGGCAGGTCGGGGCCCAGCTCCCGGGGGCCGCTGCTGGCACCGCCAGACTGCAGACCACGTTTGGGGCGGCAGGGCGTGCTGTGGACATGTGGACACTCCTGCCAGGGAGGGTTGGGGGGTAAAGTATGAAGCACCTGGGACCTGCCCGGGACTCTTCCCGCACGGGCAGAGTGGCGGCGAAGGCTGGGGGGGGTCAGAGGTGCTTCCAGGAATGACCGTTTACAGGCCCTTCCCCACCTTGGCCTCCTGGACCACACAAACTGGGTCAGGCTAGTTCTCCT